TCTCGTTCGGGGCCCTCTCAAAAAAAACTTGCTGGCCAACTTTCCTTGGCCGTCTTGGGGCCCTCTCGGGGCCCCGGGGCCAGTCTTGGGGGGCCTCTTGGAGCTTTTCCGGGCATCTCGTAGGCAACCGTGGGAAGTGTTTGGGGGGGGGCCCTCTCAAAACACATTTGCTGGCAAGCCTTCCTGGGCCGTCTCGGGCGCCGTCTTGGGGCCCTCTCGGGGCCCCTTGAGCAAGTCTTGGGGCCCTCTAAGAGGGAAGAGGGTTTTTCTATTTAGGGGTTTGAAAAATTCTTCTGATATTAAAAATCGATGTCTGGGCCCACAGCGTGGGACATCCTCCAAAAATGCTCCAAAGTGTGGCCTGGTTGGCTGGTTGGTTGGCTGGATGGTTGCCTTGCTGGTTGGTTGGTTGGCTGGCTGGTGCGGGGTCGAAAAAATCTGTTACGGCATGGTTGAATGGTTGGTTTGTTGGTTGGTTTGTTGGTTGGTTGGTTGGTCATTGCATGGTTGGTTGGTTGGTTTGTTCGCTGGCCAGCTGGTTTGGTCTGGTGTAGCTGCGACGCCTGGCGTTGGCGCTGCCCTGGACTGGTTGTTGGTGTGGCTCCGCGCGCCCGTGCGCGCTTTAAGGGGCGGTGGGCTGCCTGGCCTGCCCTGCCCTGCGCCCAGCTCGGCGGCCCCTGAGCCATCTGATCATGCAGGGCCCCTCCGCGCCCTACAGGATCCGCGGCCTCGTCCTGTAGGGCCCCGCCGCGCCCTACAGGATGCTGCTGCTGAGGCTTGTCTCTGAGGCATGGCCTCACGCCTCGCCAGTTCGGCTAGTTTCCGCCCCGTCGGGTGCTAGACCTTGATTGCCCTTTGTCCCTAACCCGAACACCCTAACCCAAATCCCCTAACCTGAACCATAACCCTAAATCATAACCCTAAGCCCTAACCCTAACACTTCGACCCTAACGCTAACCCCCACCGATCGCTAACACTTGAACATTAAGGCCATAACCCTAAGCCCCAACTCTAAATACGAACCCTAAACCCTAACCCTACACCCCTTACCCCCCCCCCCCCCCTTAACTTTAACCCGAGCGCCTTAACCTTAAGTCCATTGCCCTGAATTTAACCCCTTATCCTAACCCGAACCCTAACCCCCCAACCCTAAGCCCGAACCCGAACCCCCTAACCCTAGCCCTAACCCCCAAAAGGCAAACCCTAACCTTAACCCCCCTAACCCAGAACCCAACCCCCCGACCCATGACCCTAACCCCATAGCCCGAACCCTAAACCTGACACCTTGACCTTATGGCCCTCGCCGTAAACCTTAACCCTCGACCTTAACCCATAAACCTTAGCCCTCAACCCTAATTCCCAAGCACATCGTTGTGCTCCTGCCCACCCACCGCGCATCACCGTCGCCGTCTACGAGAGACAGGGCTTCTCTGAGATGCTTCAGCAGGTGGCCAGACTGGGTCGCCATGGCAACCTTGCGCTGCCCTCCCCCACTTTGGGGGGTCGCGATTCGCCGATAAACTCCCCCTGATCCTCGACGAATACAACACCCTAAACCCGGAGACCTTTCGATTCGGACCCCCGCCCCTGCCCCTCCGACACGTACAAACACGTGTGGGACGCTCTAGGTGCCTCAGGGCGCGCCTGGGAGACTTGGGGACGCGCCTACGAGGCTCTGGCCGAGTTCTGGGACGATCAGAGACGCGCTGGGGACGCCTAGGACGACCCTGCAGGGTCGTCCTAGGCGTCCCCAGGGCGTCTCTGATCGCGCGCGCGACTCACCGGCGACCGCCACGTTGGTCCCCTTTGCCGTGTCCCACCATGTGACCCCGTCGAGATTGAAGCATCAGCGTACATCTACTCCAATCTCGATATGCGCGCGCCAGCGCAGCTGGGCTCGCTAGAGGAGCGCGCAGGTGCGGTCTTGGCGTCGCCAGCGTAAACTCAACGACAACTAACTCGATGACCGGCCGGCCGCCGGGACGTGCCGGGCAAGTCCTGCACCCCCTCTGCCTCGCGGCGCATGTCGGACTTGGGAATGTATGGGGGCTTGCCCCTAAACCTTAACAGGCTTTAGTTTGGGAGGTCGCCGGCTCTTCGGCCGGGGGTGGGAAGTTGTTGCAACTCATGCATCGTCGGCAAGCTTGATCGGGTCGGCGAGACGCCCCCCCAATTAAGCTTGCCGAAGGGGGGGCAGCATTGCCCAAGATTGTCGGCCGCTGCGCGCAGAGAAGCCCTACACCCTAAAGCCAGATCCCCAGAACCCCAAACCCTAAACCCCTTAAGCCAAGCCCAACCCGAACTGGCCAACCCTGAGACCCTAATCCTAAACTGAAGCCCGAACCCTAATCCTAAGCTTACCCCCTAACCATGAACCCTATAGGGTTCATGGTTAGGGGGTAAGCTCGCCCCTAACCATGAACCCTAAGCTTACACCTACCCTCGCTAGCCTAACCCGAGCCCCCATCACCCGAACCGTAACTAACCCTCTAACATGAAACATTAACCCTATACCCCCGAACCTTCACACCCGAACCCTAACCCTAACACCCTGACCCTCACACCCGAATCCAAACACCTGAACGTAAACCCGAACCCTACAGCATAACCCTAAGCCCTAACCCTAAGCCCCTAGCCTTACCGCGAACCCCCATAACCATAACCCTAACCCGATTCCCAACACCTGAACCCTGGGAGCAGAAGCCTAAACCCGAACCCTAGACACGAACCCTACACCCGAAACCCATACCCTAACCCGACACCCCAAACCCTAACCCTTACCCCCTAAGCCTAACCCTAGCAGCCTAACCTTAAGGCCGTTACCCTAAACTCTCAAGCGCTCGCAAGCGTTCCGACGCGCTTCGCTGTACTCACAACGAGGGGAGTGATGATCTTTATGGTAGGGTGGTTTGCGGGTGGGACTGACAGCCACCGCAGGTGGGCTCGTAGGCAGGGGGGGATCAAGGCTTGCCTGGTGGACCCTATCCCTAAGCCCGAACCCTAGCCCCCGAACCTTAAGCCCTAACCTGAACTCCCTAACCCCAACCCTAACACCCAGAAGCCTAACCCTAACTTCAACCCCCTAACCCTGAGCCCGAACCCCCGAACCTTAACCCGAACCCCATGATCCAGGCCCAACCCTACCACATTAACCTTATGGCCCCCGCTGGAAACCCTAACCCTCAACCCTAACCCTCTACCGTAGCCCTCAACCCCAACCTTGCACCCTAAACCCTGACCCCCTAACCTGAACCCCCTTGACGCAACCCCAACCCTAGCACCCAAACCTTGAGACCCGAACCTTAATATTAAGCCCGAGCCCTAAGCCCTAGGCCTACCCCGTAACCTTGAACCCTAAGCCAAACCCCGCTAACCCTGACCCTAACCCCCACAACTCTAACCCTAACCCCTAACCCTGAACATTAATCCTCAACCTTAACAAACACACACACAAACCTTAACCCTGCCCCCCCTAACCCCCCAACCTGAACGCCCTAAACCCAACCCAACACCCCGAACCCTAACCGAAACAGCCGAACCCCAAGGCCCGTACCCTAAACCTGACCTTCACCCTAAACAATAGATCTAACCCCCTTGCCCTCAACCCTAACCCGAACATGAACCTTGACTTCATATCCCTAACCGTAAGACGAGGCCCTAACTGTTAACCCTAACCCTCTTCCCTAATCCTGAACCTTAGACCTAAACTTAAACTCTAACCCTAAACCCTAACCCCCTCAACCCCAATCCCAACCCTAACACTATAACCCTCAGGCCCTACCCTAAACCTGACCTTAACCCTAAACCTTGAGCTTACCCCCTACCCTTGAACCCTAACCCTAACCCCCTCTAACCCTCACCCACAAAACCCAAACCTTAACCCTCTGAACCCTAACGCTAAGCCCTAACTCCCACCCCCTAACCCGAACCCCCACAACCCCAACCCAAATCCCTAACCCCCAAACCCTAACACCCTAAGCCTGACCCCTAATCGAACCCTACCCAATTCACCATACACCCTAACCCCCTGACCCTAACCACCCTCCAACCCTAACCCGAACACCCTAACCCGAAGGCTAGCCATAACCCTAACACTACCTAAACCCAAACCCTACCCCCCAAACCCCTATCCCCCTAGCCGTAACGCGCTAACGCCAAAAGCTTTAACACTGACGCCATTCCATTTATTCTCTTGTCCATTCCATCACATTCCTCTTTCCCCCCGCCCCGCGATCATTTTTTGTCAAAAAGTTTCATCTGGGCCCAGCGGTGTGGGACATCCTCAGAAATTACACAAAGGAAAGACTGGTTGGCTGGTTGGTTGGCTGGCTGGTGGGCTCCCGGGTTGCCGGGTGAGCCGGCGTCGAGCTGGATGGCTGGTTAAGTTGGCCAATTCTGGCACGCCCTTCACACGGGCCGCGCTTCCGGAGACGGGAATTTTTTGGCCCGCATATAAATGTTTTTTCTGACAACTAATACATTTGTATAATCAGAAAAACACAAATGTTCTGAACCCGGGACCCCTCTCAGATCTTCTCGGGGCATCTTTTGGGCAACCGTGGGAATCGTTTGGGGGGGTCCCTTTCAAAAAAAACTGCCTGGCCAGCTCTCCCAGGCCGTCTGCCAGAGAATGCGCTCCCAGGCACCCCCCGCCCCCCGTGGCAGCGCCCGCAATGCGTTTCTCATAACGGCGGCACTCGCACTTGCATATGGTCGGGCCTTCCGTTACACGCGATCATGTTGGGGCCCTTCTGGGTTTCCGGGAGGCGGCTTCCGCAGCCACGACGACGACGACGACGACGACGACGACGACGACGACGACGACGACGGCGACGACGACGACGACGACGGCGACGACGACGACGACGATTATTAAGACGACGGCGCTGATGGCGGGGGCAGACCCTCTCTCATTTTCCTTCTTTCCTTCCCGCCCTCTGCTTCCACCCCTCCTCGTTCCTCCGCCCCCCGCCGCCCCCCCCAGTTGCGCGGGGCCCGAGGCGCTGCCCCCGCCTGTCGCGATGGGCCGCGACGGGCGCAAGATGGCGAAGCGACGCCGCCGCAACCCCGCGGAGTCCGCTGACGTCCCGCGCCCACTCAGGTCCCCGGTGCCCGCCGATGTGCAGAGCTTATTAAATTACCTTGTGTGCTTTTTGCTGCCGCATGAGTTTGCTCAAATGGTACAGGAAGGGATGACGGACCCTTCATTGGACTTGACGAGGGATTTAGATCACTTGGAACTTTGGAACTCTTCGCGGGCAAGATGGCCGTGACTTGTTCCATGATTGAGGCCGGCTTTCGGGCGCTGCCTCACGAGTTAGAAATCGGGCAACATTTCGATATACTATCGCCCATGGGATTTTTCTTGGCGTTGCTGGCTCTGCTGAAGGTGGCGCGCGGCGGCGGCATGCTGGCAGCGCCCGCGTGCTCGTCATGGGGGTACATGACAAGGGGGAGCACTTGCAGGACACCGGGCGAAAGGGCAAACGATGGTGACCATTGTTGCAGTTGTGGTGTCGTCGTCGCCGCGGGTTCGACGGTTGTTGCCTTGGGCAACTGGAGAGGCCTGACGGCCGGTGTCGTCTATCGGAGAGGCCTCACGGCCGTTGCCGCTGACCCTGAACGACGACGACGACGACGACGACGACGACGACGACGACGACGACGTTAGCATGCGCGCGTACACGCACGTTGTCGCCGCGCGTCGCCGCCCCCCTTTCTGCCGGCCTTCCCGGGCCCCCCCGCGCCCGCCCGCCCGCCCGCAGGACCCATGGGTTTCCGCATGGTGACGAGCGCGTGCGAGCCGTCGCCGACGCCAACGTGATGGTCGCCAGGGTGTGCCTCCTGTGCTACGTCGCAGCGGCCCGGGGGATTCTTTTTATAGTCGAACAGCCCGTGGGGTCGCGTTTAGAACTTCACAAGTGGTTTCAAAAGCTATCCCGCGATCTCACGCTGTGGAGGCACACTATTCACATGCATCATTTTGGGGGCGCGAGCGATAAGCCGACGTGGCTCTATTGCAATGAGCGGCTTATCGAGGACCTTTCAAAGTATTCGCTGCGAAGCTTCGTGGATGAAAGCCCCGCTACCCCGCTGGTCCACACGTGGTACGACAAGTCTGGGAGAAGGCGGATTGCAGGAAACTCGAACTTGAAGAAATCGCAGGCATACCCAACTGGGTTTGGGCGCGCCGTGGCATGCCTATACCAGGAGCACTCCCATTTCTTGCGGGAGAAGGCCGCCCAGACAGAGCTGCGCGGCTTGGGGCTCCATGCGGGCGGAGCCCCGCCGGGCGCCCCCGATTGCTGCGGCGTGGCGGACTGCTTGCATGCGTATCGGCGGATGACAGCCTGAGCGAAAACGAAGGCCCGCGTTGCTTCCCCCCCCCCGCAGACCCCATCATGGGGATTGAGACGACCCCCAATTCACAATCGTATAATTATAGTTCCCTGGGCCATCATGCCCAGGAACATCCAAGACCTGACTTCCCAATAGTTTCCAATGTTGCCCGAAGACGAAACGGCCCAAGGCGATCCACGACTACATTGGATTACCCAAGACGGCCCAAATCCAACCAATACAACGCACATGCACGCAGGCGCACGCACGCGCGCGCACGCACGCACGCACGCACACACACACAGACACACACACACACACACGCACGCACGCACACACACACACACACACACACACACGCACACATACACACACACACACACACACACGCACGCACGCGCACGCACGCACGCACGCACGCACACACGTGCACACATAGGCACGCGCGCTTGTAATTAGCCAGGACGACCCAAGACAACGCGGGCGCAGTAATACCCAAGATATATGGTGCCCGAGGCTATCGCAGACTATCCCGAACGAGGACCCATCCAATACATGCTGATCGCAGCATGCTCCGCTCAGCGGGGGGGCCGCAGGCGGCCCGAGCGCCCCTTGGATGGCTACCCCGCCCGGCTCCGGGTCTTCCTCGCCCTCCTGCTGCTGCTCGCCCTCGCCTTGCACCTCTTGAGCACCCGAGAAGGCAAACCAAAACACTTCTCGAGCCTCGAGGCTCGAGAAGTGCATTGGTTTGCCTTCTCGAGCCTCGAGGCGGAACATCCAAAAGACTTCTCGAGCCTCGAGGCTCGAACCCCCGCCGGCGACGACGACGACGACGACGGCGGCGGCGGCGGCGGCGGCGGCGACGACGGCGACGGCGACGACGACGACGGCGGCGACGACGACGACGACGACGTCAGCCTGGCCAGTTGTTCAAGCTGCGCCCAGCCGTGCATAGCCAGGGGGCCCCCCCAGGATGCCCCCAAAATAACAGAAACGATGATAAGATATCATTCGTCGTCGCCCTCTTCCTCCTGCCCTTCCTCGTGTTCTGTTCCCTGCACCCCCTCTTACCTTGTCCCTGCCATGCACCGCCCCGATATCGCCATCCCCCCATCGCCCCGCCATCCCTCCTCCTCCCCCCCTCTGATTTTTTCGCGCAAGACAGCAACGTGGAATCGGCGGCGCCTCTCAGGCGCGCCTGTTGCGCCGCTGGCGGGCCCGGGCGCCCAGACGCGTCAGCGTGTGCTCCTCGACGGTCGCGGTGGCGGCCCTCTCGGCGGCCGCCGCCCGGCGGCGCGCGCGGGCCTTCGCCTTAGCCCGGGCGCTCAGCGCCGCTCGTGCCGCCGCATGGCGCGCCGCGTCGCGCTGCCGCCTCGCCTCCGCGACGGCGGGGCCCTCACCGACCCGCGACGCTGGCCTCACCGCGCCGCGCGCGGCGCCGCGCGCAGCGGCCCCGTCCTGCAGCCTCTGCCCAAGAGCCCCCCGGGCCCACGTCCGCAGCTGCTGCAGCACGCCTTCGCGAGGAGCCGCGCCCGCGGTCGGCCCCTCTGCCCGCCGCGCGCAGAATTGCCGCCCGCGCCCCCCATGCCCTTCGCAGGTGGCCCCGAACAGCACGAAGTGCAATGCGTTCTGCGCCACGCATAGCAGAATTTATAACCCGCGCAGCGTAATCCGCGCGGGCAGCGCGCCCCATTGGAACAGCCAACGGCCGCAACCAACGTCGCGCAAGGGATCTCTTAACGGTAAATTAACACTGCGCTGTTGACACTGCGTAAGCAGGGGTAAATTAACACTGCGCTGTTGACACTGCGTAACGGCGCTGAAGCGCTGTTAACATGGCGCTGTAGCGCTGTTGACACTGCGTAACGGCGCTGTAGCGCGGCTAACAAGGCGCTGTAGCGCTGTTGACACTGCGTAACGGCGCTGTAGCGCTGTTGACAAGGCGCTGTAGCGCTGTTGACACTGCGCAACGGCGCTGTAGCGCTGTCAACAAGGCGCTGTAGCGCTGTTGACACTGCGTAACGGCGCTGTAGCGCTGTTGACAAGGCGCTGTAGCGCTGTTGACACTGCGTAACGGCGCTGTAGCGCTGTTAACAAGGCGCTGTAGCGCTGTTGACACTGCGTAACGGCGCTGTAGCGCTGTTAACAAGGCGCTGTAGCGCTGTTGACAATGCGTAACGGCGCTGTAGCGCTGTTAACAA